TTTCCTTATAAACAAGCACGTCACTACTTATAAGGAGTGATATAAGGAATATTTTTTAAGTGTTAGGGCTATTTTTTATATTTAAAACATCTTTAATTAATTATTATGTTTTTAACTTCTTAATTTCTACCATCGCTTTTTAAATAGCTTAAGCCCTTTAAGTTTGCGCTAGAATTAATAATAAATCTAGGTTAATTTTTAAATATACGCTAAAAATTAAAAGGGTAGAAATAAGACCGTTAAAATTAATTATATCGTTTATTACCTTAACCGCTATTTAAAGTTAAAATATTTTTAACTTTAATCCTTAAAGTTCTTCGCTTATGATTTTATAAGTTTTTCTTATAAGACCGTGGTATTCTTTAATTTTATTAATTAATTAATACGCTTTCACGGGGATTTAATGGCAGGTAATTTTTACGATATAAGCTTTGTTCTTAAATTTAATGTTATTAAAGTTTATACCGGTGTTATATATAATAATATTTAATGAATTAAGATATATGTCGATTTAATATTACCTTAACATTTCCTAAATTTCCTTAGCGGAAAGATTTTTTATAAAGTATATTGTTTGGAAATTTATAACTATATTAACGATATAAAGGATAAGTTGTTTATTTAAATACATAATATCGATAATTATTTTATAATTAAAGTTTACATCGAAATCCTTTAAACTAAACTTAAATTTTTAAGGGGTATTATCTTTAATTTAATAATGGTGGCAAAACTTATTAATTTCTTTAATATCACTAATCTTAATATTATAACCAGCTTTATCCAATAAATTATATAATTTATTAACCGATAAATAATCGAAACAAGTATATAAACGTTGTAATTCCGTTTTTATAAAAAATGTAATATCTTTTAAATGGAATTATAAGTGTTTTTATTTATAAATAACGTTAATAATAATACCGTTTTTATAAACTAGTTAATTAATAATATTATTAAGATATATTCTTAATCGATTTATATCCTTTAATAATAAAAGGAATGAGGTGTTGATATTTATAACATGGAAATCGATATAATTAAAGGGGGTGTTAATGGTAATTATTTTAAAAGATTTTATTAATTATTTATTTTTAAAACAAATTTAAACTTTTTTTATATAAGATTTATTTATTATAATTTATTTATTAAAATATTCTTTAATAAAAGTTAAGTATTATTTCTTTTTAATCGTGGATACTTAAATAACACCTATGTTAAGTATAATACCTTAAAAAATATCCTTTATATATTAGTTTAAGAAAAAGATATTATCGGTTATCGCTGCGTTTAAAAGAAGGCGGGCGATTATACGATGTTAAAAAACTTAATTGGATAAGTAAGTAATGGTTAAAAAAAGGTTGTTATTATTATTATAATTTACTTCTAATATTACCGCTTTATTTTCTTATTCCACTTTTAAACTAAAATTATTAAGTTTTTTATAATTTGCTAAAAATGTTATATAATTCTTAATTAATAAGTTACGTTTACTCTTCCATTTTTTTTTAACCTTTTTTTATTTATACTCGGAATACTTAATGAATTAATAACCTTCCTTCTTGCAAACCTAATATTTACGCTTTTATAATTTAAGAGACTTTTTAATATTATACTTACCACTTTTATTTATTTTATAATATTTGCGATTTATATAAAATTAAACGTTTTTTTTTTTATTATCGCTATTATTAATACACTTGTAATTATTTAACTTAGCTATTTTAAAAATTTCATAAGTTTTAATTAACGCTTAAAGCTTATTAGCTAAATCTTTAAACCTTAATAATAATTTAAATAAAGTATATTAAAACTAAGATATAACACGGTAAACGCGATAAATAAATATAATAAATTATTATTCCCCTTTAAATTTAAGGCTAAGCGTTTATTAACATAAAAAAAGCTTATCAAGAAAAACTTATAATACTTTTAAGTTACTTTTTCCTATATTTTTCTTATTATTTTTAACATTAAAAAACGTTATTATAATTTAATCATAATAATATTAAATCTTATTTTATTTAATGTTAAAATGTCGTTTCATAATTAAATATATATCCGTAAAAATCTAATAATATAAGACATTATAAAGAAAATATAAGGCTGCCTTTCTTATAAGGATTATAAAGAATATAACATAAAATTACGTTTATTATATTCTTACCGTGTAGTAAACATTAAAAAAAAATCGAAACTTGTTTTTAAGGATATCGTATAACTCGCTTGTATAATTATTCTCATTGTTTTAAGCTTTTTTAAAATAGCTAATAATAATTAATGGATATATCTCATTGAAGATTCGTATAAAAGGAATATTATAATAAATAATGCCTTTTTAATTACTAATAAACATTTATATTTATTACTATTAATTAAATATCGATAAAAGTAATAATGCCGTTTAAGAAAAAAAACCTAAGTTTTTATTAAAATGGTTTACTCCTTTTAATGCAGGTTTTAAAGGTAATGTTAAAGATATAAATAAATCTCTTAATAGCGGTTTAAGGGGTCTTATATTATTTCCCGGGGTTATATAGCTACCTTATAACTGCCTTTCTTAGTTATTTTGACTAAATCCTTGCCATGAAATGTTATTATGTGGGGACCTAAATGGAAGATTTCTAGGATTTAGCGGTTATAAAAGGGGTATTAGGAATAATGTTAATTTTTAAGATTATGAAAATGGTTAAAATAAACTAAAAAATCCAGCCCTAATAAATATTTAAATAAAAAGAAGTAAGTTATTACCCGTTCGTTAAATAAGGTCCGACGGTTATAAAGCCGGGTTTTATAATTAGTTAAGAGGGGGAGGGAATAAATGAAACCTCGAAAAAAAGTTGCTAAAATCATAAAAAGATTAAAATAAAAAAGGCAGCGGGTTTAAAAACGGTTGTTTTCTTAAAGTAAGGGGAGATATAATAAAAGTAGTAAATTAAGTAGGATTTTAAGGCGTTTATAATACTTGTACTAACGATTACCTTAGTCGTTATGCCTTAAAAATAACCGGATTTAATTTTATTTAATATATAAATACCCTTTAAGCTAACGCATTAAGCTATTTTATTTAAACTTATATTAAGTCTTAAAAACGCCAACGTGGTAGCTTTTATATGTTTATTAAATTAGCTAATCTTTCCGCATAATTATCGTTACTTTTACTTATATAAATTTTTCGTTACATAAATACGTTTTATAACGCCGTTTATAATACCTTTAACATTTCATTAAAGTTATTTAAATAAAATATATCGAAATATTTTTTATATTTTTTAAATATCTCTTTTATTATGCAAGCATAACTAACACTTTTATCGGTTATTTTAAAGTTAACGAAAGCTAATAATACTTAAATATTCTTTTACTTTTAGGTGGTAAATAATAATATTTCGTTTTATTTAACAACCTTTAAGATAAATTGTTATTTTAATAATATTATTTTATTAGGAACGAAATTTAATAATTCGTATAACTTATCCATATCTTTTTAAGCAACGGGGTTAACATCGATGTTATGGCTTTTAAGTTATAATTAAGGTGTTAAAAGTAATGCCGATCCTTTTAAAGTGGCTATTATATTAGCAATTAATATAAGGGAATTTAAAAAAAAGGGGGAATATAAGTTAATATTACTATGTAACGATAAAGATTCGAAACGGTTAAATAAAGTAAAATTATATTTTATTATAAATAAAATATAAGTGTTAGAAAAATAGTTATTAATATCGTTTATATTATTGTAATAAGATTTTTTAAATTATTATAATAATAACTCTTTTAACCTTACTAATTTATATTATTAATAGTTTAATAACATTAATTAATATTAGTAAATACGTACGTATAATAAATTAAATAATAAGTAAAGTAAGAATAATAAAGGTAAAATTAGTATAATATTAATATTTAAAGAAAGAAGTTTAAATCTAAGAATAAAAAAGGGATTTAACTCCTTATATAATCTAAGTTACATGGGTACCTCCTCTAGCCATATACGTACCGCGTTAGTACGTACCCTTATCATATAACCACTAAATTATTTTAAAGAAATGCCGCACGCGTTTTAAGAAAGCTTATTAGCTTAACTTTTCAATTATATGTATATATTGTAAAGGTTTATAAATTAAATTTAATTGTATAATTTTATTAATTTTATTAAGTTAATTATACCTTTTTAAAAATGGTGAGTTTTAATGGATTTTAATAAAAAACCGGTGTTTTAAATTTAGTTTATCCTAGTTAACGATAGCCGATAATAGTAAATATAATAAGAAATTTTATTAAGTAAATAATAAAGTAGTGTAGTTAATTAAATTTAACATTTAAATGTTTATAATGTTTATTATGTACATATGTAATAGTAACATAACATTGAATATTTAAGATTAAAAGTGCGGAGGATCTCCCCGCCACCTAAATTACAGCGTATACCTACCTGGGTAGGTAGTACTAGGTACTGCATAGTACGATATCCTAGGTACTTGAATAGGGCACTGATAACTATGCGGTGCTGGGTAATAAGGCGCAGTTTAGTTTGGAACAGTGGCGGCCGCTAAATGCCCCGCCACTAGAAATAACTCGGTATTCTAGTGGTTAGTCCCAGTTTCAAGGTTGGCAAGGATCCTATTCGCAAGGCAGTCAGGCCCCGATGACGAAAGCAATTGCGCCCGCAAACCGATGGATATGGTTCAAGGTTGTAAATATGATTTGTGTTTTCAATACAAGTATTTGATAGGTAGGAAAGTGCATATTCCGTACCTGCCACCTTATTAAATCACTTAAAATCACTTATTACCTAAGGATAGGTGCATTCAATGTTATAGACTTATAGTTTATAGTATTACACATTTTCAAAATAAACTCGACAGTTTCTTTTTCTTCAATGTTGTTTGCTTACTACTAGTACCAACGATAATTTATGAACATTTTCGGCATATTCGGCGGTACTGTAATTCAACCCCAGGTACCTTGTGCATAGGTTCCTGCAACAATCAATCTATCGAAAACTGGGGCAAACATACCTAACCTACCTACATACTATGTAGTAGTACCTATGTTACATACCTAGTACATAGATATATAGCAAATCCCATCGCCTATATTTCATATTTACACCACCATTCAAGTTATTACTAGCTGTTACGGCCGGCTAGATCACCAACCGAGGCCATGTCTACGACGATGACCATGCCATTTCCATCTATAGCATCTACTTCAATATCTACAATGGCTACTGCAACCACAACGACAACCACGACATCCTGCTGTCCCGGCTGCGGACTTGCACTCCCATCTCCGCCCTCGTCCACATCCACCGATAGTGAGAACGCTTTGCTGGAGGCACAAAGACAAATACAAGACCTGCAGGCCCAGGTCCGCCTCCTCAACCAGAAAGCCGCTGCCGCAGTCGACCGCTGGGCTGACTACGAAGACGAACTTTCCCGCTTACGAGCCGCCTCGCTTACCTCCGTCGCAACCACCACATCACCCCGCAGCGTTGCTACCAGCAGCCCACGGTCCTCGTTCCTGGTATCTGGCGTGGCATCTGGTGCCGCAGCGCGTATAAGTCAGCTTTTGTCCCCGCGCAAATCGGTGCCGAACCTCGCGACCCAGGTCAAAGGCCGCGGCTCTATCTCGTCACCATACTTGCCGCATCCTAACGGGAACGCGAATGGGGCAAATGGCAATCTTCAACCCCAACATAGCCCAAACCCCAGCACGGATCTCAGCACGGATGATCTGCTATCAGCATTGTCGCGCGAGAAGGAGCTGCGCGCCGCGGCCGAGGGAAAACTCGACGACACGAGTAGGGAAGTCGAGGAGCTAAGCGCGACGCTATTCGAGCAGGCTAATGAGATGGTGGCGACGGAGCGACGGGCAAGGGCGAAGCTAGAGGAGCGCGTTACGGTGCTGGAGCGTCGCGACGTCGAGAAAAGGGACCGGCTGGAGAAGCTGGAGGGCGCGATGGGAAGGCTGGAGAGGGTGAGGTCGTTGCTTAACGAGAACTGAGATGGTTCGGTTAACACCAAGTCTGGATATCCAGTTGGCGCCATGCAACACCTTAACCTCTTTAACAAATTGCCATTCGGGGTTAAAGCCGGGTTCTAAATTACACTTTTCGGGAAATGCGGCTAAGGGTGGATCGAACCGACTACCCGTACGGAATCGACGAATCCATTATCGCGTCTCACGAGACGCTAATCGAGTCATGACATGAAGTCGTGACATGATATTACGAAGACTAAAATGGCAGACAAGCCAGGCACGAGCACGAGCCACAAATTCTGAACTTTTCCATCCCCCTTATATACGTCTAAGGTTAAGGGTTTATATGCCTGGCACTTTTGAGGTCATAGATACCTACGTGTAGACGACTAGGAGGTATGGGCTACTCGGATGAGATTCGAATGAGATTTTATTTTGGTGGGTGGTCATGATAGACATACGATCATGTGTTAGGGGCTCTTCTTTTCTATTTGCCATATCCAATATCCATCGTCTTAATGTCTACACGGGAATGATTTACTGAGGGAAAGGGCTTTAGGTTGTTGTATTTTATTTAAACAGGGCGGGTAAAAGGGAAACTAGGACGGTTCAAAATTGCTTTCATGATATCCGAAGGGCATACGTAGAGTCAGTAGGGAATGAATGAGGCCGCGCGTATTGTATTCAAGGCAGGATTTGGTCCGGGGGATGTGGTTTGGTTAGTCGATATGATTGAGGCTATTTTGGGTATTTTCGTCAACATTAGCAATTTCCACCTTTGGATTATTGTATCTAGATATCATCATATCACAAGTTCAAAATTACCTATGAATCTTGGAACGATTAAGCTAAGTAATAAAGTTACTTGCCTCTAACTTACCTAACGGTTTAACCTAGGGTAGTAAATACTTCGTACCCAGGTGTCGATCACATGTGCCCCAGAAGCGAGGTGGGGATAGATAATCTGTATGGAGTTTAACACCAACAAATGTCAGGGTCTTAATCGGTGCCTAGTAAAGTATTAGTAGCATAGTAGTAGTAGTAGTGTATTATACGGTATACCGATACGTCAGAAGTAGGTATGGAGCTCGGTACCAAAAACTGAAGATTATAAAACGATCCTTCCCATTCGCTACGCGTCACCCTTCAAATGTGTTCGCATTCGTTACGTCTCTTCGCATTTGGGTTATCGGCCTAAGCACGGCTCAGTTTATTTCCGGCAGAAGGGGGAGGGGTGCTCCTGTTATTACTAGGTACTATTCCCAATGAACTCATTGAACTACAATAAGTACGTACCTGCCAAGGTATATAATATAACTGTTGGCAATGCTAGCGACATACAGTACTACTACGTAGTATGTATGTCGGTAGCTACGGTACCAACTGGAGAAAGTCGCGACGGACATTTATAATACTCCTCCTGCCCGTCACCGATCCCGTCCATTCCTCTCCTTCCCACCTCCCTTTTGACTCTTTGTCTTCGTGAGCCATAATCTGTATATATATATATAAAATAAAAAAAAGGGCAACGCGATCCGGGTGAATGAAAGAGCAAAATCCGTAAACCTACCTAAATCAGGTAATCCAAGTAGTAAGTATGCTACTAGAGGAGGAGGCCTTGACCCGGCCGGCAGTCTTGGCCCCGGCGCTGCTCGTCCTCGCTTATGCCGTGTACCAACTGTTCCTCCGGCCCTCCGGGCTTCCGGCGGGCCTGCCCATTCTCGGCGCGAAGCCGGGCGAGTGGTTCCCGCTCGTGCGGGCCCGCTTCCGCAACGTGCGGGACATGAAGACGGCCATCCAGCTCGCCTACACCCAGCACCGCCACCAGGCGTGCATCCTGCCCGTCTTCGGCAGCGGCGACCTCGTGCTGCTGCCCAGCAAGGAGATCCAGTGGCTCGTCGACCAGCCCGACTCCGAGGTCGACATCCACCAGGCCATCGTCGCCTCCCTCCAGCTCGACCACGTCGTCATGGACAGCCACCTCATGCACCCCCCCGTCCACCACAAGATCGTCTCCACCCTGCTCACACGGGAGACCGGCAACCTCGTCCCGGACCTGCTCGACGAGATCCGCTTCACCGTCGACAAGCTCTGGGGCGTCGACACCAACGCCTACCGCGAGCTGTGCGTCTACGACGTCATGCGCCCCATCATCGGGCAAGTCACCAACCGCGTCTTCGTCGGGCTGCCCCTGTGCCGGGACCAGAACCTCCTCGACGCCGGCATCGCCTACGCGCAGGCCTTACCCTTCGCCGGCCTCATCCTCCGCTTCATCCCGTCCTTCATCCGCCCCCTCCTCGCGCCCCTCGTCACGCTGGCCTGCCGCCTGCACACCCGCCGCTTCTACCGCATCATCACGCCCGAGATCACGCGGCGCCTGCGCGCCTACGAGGCCAGAGCCGCCGACACCCCCGAAGCCCGAGCCAAGGCCAAGGCCGAGGCCGAGGAGCCCAACGACTTCCTGCAGTGGTCGCTCCGCTACGCCAAGGAGACGCTGGCGGGCACCCCTTACCAAGCCACCGCCGCGGCGCTCGCGGGCCGCGTGCTGCTGCTGAACTTCGCGTCGATCCACACGTCCTCCTTCACCGTGACGCACGTGCTCCTGGACCTCGCGTGCGCGCAGCCGCGCTCGCGGCAGCGGAGCGTCCTGGACGCGCTGCGCGCCGAGATCCGCGACGTGCTCGCGGCCCACGGCGGGCGATGGAACAAGCGCGCGCTCGCCGACATGCGCAGGCTCGACAGCGTGTTCCGCGAGTCGCAGCGGCTCAACTCGTTCATCGTCGTCGCGACGGCCCGCGCCGTCGTCGCCAGGGAGGGCGTGCTCACGCCCTCCGGCGTCAGGGTCGCCCCCGGAAACACGCTGTGCGGGCCCGCGTACCCCGTCTTCCACGACGCCGAGGTGTACGCGGATCCGGAGGAGTTCAAGCCGTTTCGGTTTGCGGAGATGCGGGCGGAGGAGGACGATTGCGCCAATGGGGATGGGGGAAAGGCAGGCGGCGGCGGCGGCGGTGGCGAAGCGTACGTGAAGAAGGCGCGCCAGGCCTTCGCGACGACGAGCCCGGAGTACGTGGCGTTCGGGCACGGGCGCCACGCGTGTCCCGGGCGCTTCTTCGCGTCCAGCGAGCTGAAGCTCATGCTCGCGTACCTCATCATGCACTACGACTTCGAGCCCCAGCCCAGCAGGCCCGAGAACGTCTGGTTCGGGCTCACGAGGATACCCCCGATGCAGGCGACGATTCGGGTTAAGAGGAGGGAGGGGGTGGATTTTGGGTTGGTTTAGGGGGGGAGAGGATAGGTACTAGGTAGAGGGATACCTGCGTACTTGTTTACCTAGCTACCGAGGTACATAGTAGCCTTTTTCGTCATGAATTTGTATATAGGTTGAGAAGGGATTTTTGAATGAATACCTAATAATACTGTCAGATAGTATACACGCAGCCACGACTCGGATAGGGGATAAATGCTTGTATGCAAGATATCTAGTAGATACCTAGTACTTACGCACTTGCCTACATCAACAATTCCTTCGTTCTGGAAAATTTAATTCTCTACTTGACGCAGAAGAAAGGGGTTGGGGAAATGTTGTCTCGGGAATGAGTAGTAGTTCGCCAGCTAAGTCCAAGGCAGCCCCTATTCCGAACATTCCGCAGCAAGAACCTCCCCCATCCGTTGAGAATAATTCTGAACTTGATGGAGTAAATCCATGTATCCAAATGATTTAGATTGGGAGAAAGCACTCTTTTGAGAAGGAATCATTCTCCCAATTTAACTCATTAGGGGGCATAGATTTATTCGACAAAAAATGATTCCTTCTCAAGCGAAGGTTGCTATCATGAAAGTAAAAAAAGTAAGAACCGACTTACCTCCATACCTATGGGGTTGGCACTTGCTACCCTGTACAAGTCACCCAATTACCAGGTACCCAATTCTATGCCTACCCAGTAGATCCCATTGCTATACCTAGGTACCATATCGCTATAACAGGTAGTAAGGAACGCTTCCACATACCTAAAAATAGCTTGTCGACGTTACGGCTCAGGAGAGCTCCGATAACGATATATCCTGACGAGTGATGCCATCGACCGACCGATCTCCGCCTAGAGCACTGTCCTGGGTACAGGTAGCTCTAGCGGCAGGTGCCAGGTGCCTAGTAGATACCCGAGTATGTAAAAAAAAAAAAAAAAAAAAAAAAAAAAAAAATAGACCGCCCTGTTCCGTTTCCGTTCCCGTTCCGCTCCAGCTCTCCCGAAACGCGGCTGTTGTCGGTGATAGACTTATTATCTGTGTTTGTCCATGGCAAGTTTCGTATTTCACACCTACCTGCCTACCTAGGTACCTAAGGTTAGGTATGTTTCAAGAACCCGTATGCAGAAGACCGAAGGCTTGGATTAATCGATCCACCGAACGTCGTAATGTACCTAACCCAGGTAGGTGTCGTGTTTTCTTCTTCTTCTTATTCTTCTTCTTCTTCTTCTCTATCATGTAAGTCTACCAGGTTAGCTGCATAGGTACTTACTTACTCATACCAAACAAGCCGGGAACAAAAATGGTTGCGTTCCTATTTGGTCTGCTATACTAGCCCGCAAACCCTAACCCATGAATGTCGGTCGCCAGTTTAGGTAGGTAGGTAGGTAGGTAAGTAGGCCGTGGCTGACTAAGATAAGACATCTCCTAGGTACCTATCTACGGCAGCTCGGGGCTCGGTAACAGCCGTTGCGTAACGAACGATATGCGTACGACAGGAAAGGGCAGGGGACAAACGGTCTTCGTTTAGAGTCGGTTCGGGATGGCTTCACGATTTAGGGAGGCGGAATAAGGGTTTAAAGAACGGGGTCCGGGGGAGAGGGAGCGGGAGGGAGGGAGGGAGATGTTGTAGTATTAGTCGAATAGTTCTAGAACCGTTCTAGAAGGTTGAATAGATAGTTACTATGATGGTACCTAGGTAACTAGTATGACTGTATGAGCATAGCACTGGTGTATGGGGGTTGTATTTGTATACATGCACTGTACATACCGTGGAAGGGGTAGTACCAGTATGGGGTACGGTACTCACTAATGTATGTATCAGATGGATAGATAGTACCTTAGATCTAATCTATACACAACTGCTGCATTAAGCCACATAAGTTCCTCGGCACACAAAACTCCTCCTCCTACTAAAGTACTAGCTATGCTCGGTACCTAAATCGCATCACATCGGGTTACTGTAAGCGTTGGAGCCAGGGGGGTGAGGTAAGCTACCTGAAGCTTTTGGTGTATTAAAATCCCGGCTCTACCTGCCTTCTTTCCCGAACCCCAGCCTAGCTCGATCCACGGATCAAGATCTTCGAGAAAACAAGAGGAAGGACAGAAAAACACGCACCGGCAGCACACATTAGGAGCAGACTAGTCCCGAGTTTTCATCTGTCCAGGTACCTACATAGGTACGGTTACCAATGGGCTTAGTCAACAAGGTATGTGTCGACCATATTCGACCCCCCTTGACCCTTGGATAGAAGCAGGCGTGGAAGAACCCAGGTACGGTTATTTCTCCGAGTCTTATTATTCTCCTTGGCCAAGGACGGCCAGGTCACGCACGGGATTTCCCCCTTTGACACTTTCTTAGCATTACTAACAGCCGTTCCCTCCCCGCCCCCCCCCCCCTGGAAGAGTTAACGGAAACTACTAACCTTCTAGGATTGAGCAAGGTCAGCCGATTCAGTATAACTACCTAACCCCCATTCTTCCTTCCCAGCGTTTTGTATAGGTAAGGTCCGTGGGCTAGTATATGTATGTACAGTACTTGGTATACTACTCGATCCCGCTCGACGATAGCTGCAGGTAACAAGAAGTGACTATCGTTATCACCTAGGTAGGTTACCAATGAATGCAAAGTCTTTCTGTTCTGGTTGTTTTTTTTTTGTTTGGGGAGGGGGGGTGATGTAGGTAGGTAGGAAGGCGTCCGGAGCGGAGCCTGCTTGCTTGGGATTGACAGGGGCTGTTGGCGTGATGGGGCTAGCGAATACGAGATTCTGGTTACTACCTACCTACCACCACCAATACCTAGGTAGGTACCTATCCAATATGGTCGTAGGCTGACGGAAGCGAGTAACAAGCGTCGAGGTCGCTAGGTGACAAAAAGAGCTATCTTGTTTTGGGGTGCTTTTCCTGGAGACTAAGTGGTGAAATATAGGCGACTTTTCTATTCGGGTAAGGCTAGAGAATGCATGTTCTTGATGCTAAACCCAAGCACCTACCGAGTCCTACCTAGCAAGTTTGTCTCGCTTGCTCCCCTATTCTACTTTGCCTAGTATCAATAGTGGAATGCTTAACGTTGTTGTTACCTGGCTATTTACTGCAAAGGTCTCGCTAGTCTGTCTGTTAGTAAGTATCAACCGCGTTACTTTAACGATGACGCTGACACTGAGAAGTGACGACTACCCAGTGTTAGATGGATAAATCCGTCGTCGCTGTGACTAAGGGAGCAGACACTATACCAACTGCTGAGATACCTACGTAGAGCTAAGCTTTCCGACTTAAGACCTAGCCTCGGTACATAGGCACACACCCACATATACATGTACTTGAGCGTGAATGGTTGAAGGGGGTTGGCTTTAGGTATGCTCGAGGAAAAGGGAACGTCGAGCAAGTCACACGATAGGCTGTTCGGGCCATATCGAGACTAGGCAATATATGGAAACTTTGGCGATAATCGTCGGACTATAGTGTCCTATAGACAGCTATGCCCACTTCCGGAATACTCAGTCCGGACTATGTACAAAGGCTACTGTATGGGTAGACTGTAGATATGGGAGGGGGCCCCAGCAGGAATCGAGATGGACGGTGACAGTTCACAATATCCAACGAGCTAAGGCACTAAGGGAACCAGACCTGCATGTACCTCCTGAAAAGGCCTGAAGGGACACCTGTGGCTCTAGGACCGTGTGCCAATGGGATCGACCGAACAGACCTGTGGTTCTAGAGATCTTCCCGGCAGCCTCTGTGGACACTGGTTTTGTGGACAAGTTGAATCCACGTCGGCTCCCTCCAGCAACTTATTTCGAAGCGATAGCCTATTCCCCACGTAAGTCAATGCGATGATTCAGGGGGGACTCGATTGAGGTTAAACAAAACCTCCTTTCTTTTCCTACAAGATAGACATAGGCCTGGGCCTGAGCCTATGGGTGTGCATGCGTGCATGCGTGCTGGGCACCTTTACAGCTCCCACAGTGCCAGGACATTGTTGATTTTGGTTGGGAAAGCCTGCTTACTGCGGTAATATCACCCATGGAAGAGCTCCCGCAACGAAGTTGTAACTGCCTATCCGGTCGCGTTCCGCCATAGTAATTGAAAATGGAAAATTCCGGAGACATAGACCCCGAGACACGGCCGCAAATTGGAAATGGCGCGGGTTTGTGATCGCAGGGTGAGCTCCGTCGTAAGAGGGAAATGGAAAAACACACGATATGGCAGGCCTGTGGCTTATTGGCTTGGGGCCGCCAATTGAGACGATCGCGCGATGCTGCTACCATCAACAAGGAGCATTCGTTGTTCGTATGGTGAGCTGGTGAGTGTGAGAAAGATAGAGAGTGTACTGTACGTATGCGTGTGTGGCGGTTCGCTCAGGTGTAACGTCTCATAGGGCTGCATAATCAATGCCTATCTCTTATATCCCAAAAAAGGACTTCTATTATTACTACATATGTATTTGTTAGGATAAAGTAGATCGGCGACGACATACCTGAATACATATGTCCGTCCGCTATCAGCCAGGAAGTTAATCCCGTTCCGGTCGGTGGTAGTCGCAAGGAATCTATTCTTAGATATCTACAAGGTAGCCTCGTAGCAAAATCTCGTATACGCGTATATATGTACTGTATACTACGGCTGACCCCCTGACTACAACGCTTGATTGGCTACTTGGGCGGAAGTAGCCCTATTGCGACAATCTGGGAAGACCAACGCGTGCTTAGTTCAGGGTCCGTCAATCCCTAAAGTCGATGGATTTATGGGGGGAAAGATCGTAGTCCGACCCGCTCGCCTCTAGGGCTGTTCTTGTCCTGACTCCTCAGAACTACATACCTAGGTAGGTACTACTAGGAGTAGTAATTATGTAAACATCGAGTAGGTATTGAAAAATGATAATGTAACGTAATGACGATCGTTCAGTAAGAGTAGGACCCGAGGCTGACCATCTAGTAGCTCTTTTTAGAGACATTCCACGGCTCGTCCCGGACTACCTAGTAAGTTACATTCCAAGGATTAGAAGGCTAACGCTTGGTGCGAGTTTGCGCAGTAAATACCTTAGTAAAAAAAGGGGTGGCAACGCAAACACCTACCTGGTAGCCATAGTTTTCAGCCATAGGCATTAGTCATGTTAGAAATGCAAAATAAGACAAGAAAAATATAAGCTGAATCAACAAATATTGTTCGTAGATAGATGGGTAGATATAGGGTTCATTGTTATTTATTACAATTAAAATTAGTTATCCGCGAGTTAGCGAGACCAGCTTTGCCGCCGTCTGCGAGCTGCCGAGACCATAATAGTCGGCCTGTTGCTCTAAGCATTAAACCCTTCTGCTGTCCAACCGATGGAGCAACAAGCGATAACTAGATGCTCCATTTGCGAGCCCTCCTTTCGTGAGGCCCCTTCTCCGACGCTGCTTTTGCTTCGAAAGGAAAAGGGGAAAAAAGAAAAAGAATAAGAGATAGTAAAGGTGATGGCGCCTCAAACTCCTTCGTTTCCGTTTTTTTAGCAATGGCTTAAAAAAGCATCTGTTGCTACGCTGCCACTGTTAAAGGTCCTCAGCGTCTCCTAGAGTTCCATCACCAGAGTCTCATCCTCTATTCCACAAATACCGTCCAAATAAAATCCAAAAATCAGATAGCAAATCAAACCAAATCAAATACAAGAAATCAAAAACCAAACAATAAACAAAAACGCCGTCCCAATGCATGTTGACAGACCGCCCGCAAGGTCGTCGAGTTTTGTTCCCAGATGAAGAGTTGTAATCAGTCGCTATGCAATTTGGAGGATGGTAAGAAGGGGGTATCTTGATTATTCAAAACAATGCAAATTCAAAAAAGGAGTGGCCGAGATTCTATTCCGAATGTATAGATATCGTCGTAAATCGTAAGGAGCGTAATGAGTCGGTCTATAATGCAATATCTTGCGAAAGGAGTGTCTAATCTTGGGTATCTCGGATATCGTAAGGAGTGTCGTAAGTTTGTTTTTCATTAGGCAGTTGTTATTATGCGTGTAGTGTAACAAATAAGGATCGTAGGCATCATTGTGTCGATGGCGGACATGTTTAGTTTCTTTGAATCCAGTCAAAGGAGTGTGGTGTGCATTCGCGTCTGTGGGAAAGTCGAAAAACATGAAAGTTGATTGGGTGAGGGAATCGGGCTTAGGATAGTGTTGTTGCGTGCGAGTCGTGTAAGCTGGGTGTTTTTACTCCTCGTGCTCCCTCTTGATTGGGAAGGGAGCAGACGAGACCGAGGAGTTCTGTCGATGGTGGTGTGGGAACATTTGAGACGACAAGAAAGTGGGTGATGGTGCTGACAACGACAGAGGAGTGGCCGATTCCATGGGAGCGCTGTACCATTGCTCTGGATTCAGGAACGGGGACGGCGCATTGTGAAAGGCTGGAGAGTACGAGCCAGCCGATTCCTGCTGGTGTGTGGGAACCTCAAGGGGAAGGTATCCTGAGGACGAAGATGCGAGGCGCTGGACATTGTTGTTCCTGAGGGGTATGGTCAATCAACTTTTGTCCTCTTCCATATCAAACGGAGAGCCGATGTGGTAATCCAGAGTTTAGATCCACACGGTCTGGATTGGAGAGACGAACCCGACACCAAAGTTGCTGGCTCCAGCAGAGCCAAGAGGCGGATAGGCCGTCAGCCCAGAGTCCCACGAGCCGAATTCTTCGTGATCGCTGTACGCAACGGAACCTTCACCAAAGGTCGAAGACACGGGACTGTATCCTCCGTACGATGGCGATGGAATGTTGAGGTATTGCTGACTCGAATATGGCGAATTAATACCGAGGGAACTGATCGAGTTCCTGGACTCCTGTTCCGGTGCCATGATAGAAAGATCTTCGGTGCTCCAGCTAAACGCAGGGTTGTCCTCATAGGGCAAGTACGAAGTAGTTGGAGGCGATGTGCTTTGCGACATGTTCTCACTCATGAAAAAGTTGGGTGGGTCGAACTGTGGGAACGAGTGTGTACGAGCCGGTTGAACCCAGCCCATGCGGGATCGGAACTCGTTAACAGTATCGATCGGGAATTCCATGAGTGTGAGCGGTGTCTGCGAATCTCCTTCGAGGCTCCCCGAAACGTTGATAGAGAGTAGTCGTCGAGCAATTTCCTCCACCGGTCCAATCGCAAGACTGCCGAAGTATGCAGCACCAATTTCGGGGAAGAGGCGTTCCATCATCATTGCAGCAGTGTAGTAGTGTGCAACGACAACCAGAGCACTTGGGGACGTGCCATTTTGTTTGAAGCACATCACAGGAAGCCAAAAGAGCCAAGTTCGGAGTGGCCTAAGTCGATCGAACTGATCCTCAATCGACTGAATGGGGCTGACTTTGCGGGCACCCTTAAGGAAGCATACTAGCTGCGTCGCTAGCTGGGGATCTTCCTTGTTCTGCTTTAGGTGGGCTTCAACCTTGGTGATCTGATTAATGGTACGCTGGAACGCATCAAGGTCTTCCTTGCGTGGCTGATGAGGTTTATGGTCAGGGGTCGGGGATGGCGGTGCCGTTGGGAACGTGCTACTCTCGGCGATAAACTCTCCGAATTGAGATTCGTGCTTCCATGGTTCCATAGCATCAATCACCTTTTGCGAATCTGCGTTAGTATAGTCTTCTTTTTTCTTTAGTCATACCTAAGATTATACTTACGGACGAGGTTCCTTGCATCAATTGGGTCCAGCTTCGCCTATTGTTTCGCTGGGTTAGCTAGGGTTCGCTCGGATGCTTGCATTATATTGCTTACCAATCTGTGGCCTGCCACGAGAGTACAAGCGAGGCAGCCAGGACGGCGTCAGAATTTTCCCGCGAGAACGATCCTATAGCTTCCTGCAGCCCTTTGAACGCAACACCACGATGTTCGTAGCCCATACTACCCACGTGAGGGCAGTTGGTCAAAAATGCGATGTGCTCAGCCGAGAAAGCAAGTAAGGCATGCATAACATAACCATGAGTAGCGCCAATCTTAAGAATCCTACAGAATGGTCAGCATATAAAGATACTCTAAGATGACTGGTAGAGCACCAGACATACGTGGGGATTTGGCGGGTCCAAAGAGTAAACCCATTAGCATCCATGGCGCTCATTTCATTGCAGATGGCGGCAACATGGAAGATCAGCCGAAGGTCTTCGACCGAAAAGTATTGAGGTGCCGGCGCTGGGTAAATGTTGAGGCTTGGGAACGGGAAAACGCCAGTTCGCTGCCACTGCTCGACGGCGGCCTCGATCTCGGGAGTCCACATCAGATCGGGCTTGTCGGGCGTAGCCGCTCTCTCATCGGGAACCGGCACGTCGTTATACGGGCATCGGACCTTATGCTTGGTACAGTTACGACTACTAAGGAGTTAACAAACTGCATACTTATCTTGGAATAAAGACAAGGATACCGACCATTGAGGAAAGTTCTCGTCACATCGAATATGTCGACGTTTGCTACAGACAAGTTAGTTCCCGTCCGATATTAAAACATCACAGGCCATGCGTACCAGTTCTCGCAGCCCTTGCGCGACTTGGTGTGACTGAATATAGTAGTTAGTACGCCGACTATAAAAAGATTGAAGTTTGCTAGATGAAACAAACCTGCGTCGCGGAGGACCACCACCTGGGCCAGCCATTGAAAATGCCGTAAAATATTAAAGTTGAACGAAAGAACTGAGACATGGCTTATGTTAGTACACCGAGGCCATCCATATTCGGCAAGCAGCCAGTAACCACTGTAAGACAAGCCGGGATAGATAAGTTAAACTTACGTGAATCAAAGCACGAGGGATCAAGGTAGATCTCTGTGCTAGATGAAGCGAGCGAATGGGTGTAGGAGCGGGTTCAGTTTGCTAGACCTTCCTAGACGACGACAGCTTGGATGCAAAATGCCGGTGTTGTCTTTTCTTTTATAGATGCGGTTGAACAAGGCAAGAGGGGGGGCGACACCTTTCACCTATATCAAAACATATATGGAGTAAATGCGGTTGCTGTTGCGGTTGCTATTGCGGTTGCTGATTTGCGTCTCGAGGATACTCGAGATTCGGCGGGGTTCTACAGACGCACAGGCAAAGGCGGACGAGACAGATGCTGACGTCGTTGATAAATGGTGATATATATCTGACGGTCTTGTTGGATTATTCCCTTCCAGGTGTTTTAAGCGATTGAATATCTTCTCGGGACTCGGAATACAAGTCAACGGATGTGTAGAGACTCTTCTTCAAGACAACGTGATGTCAATATAGATATTAGCAGCGGGATTATGGCTCTTTGAGTGACACTGTAAGACGAGTTCGGTTCACACGACTGATGGGGAGGATCCTTCGAGTCCAAATCTCCAAACACACAAAAAAAGGAAAAAGCGAATGACAGGAGCCAACGAGGACTTCCTAAAAGGGTGATGAGGTGAAAGCGAGTGTGTGGTTGAGGTTAGAGCAAAGCTCAGGGCTGAAATAGTTGTTTGATGGGAGACTAATGGATGGAGAAAATCAATGGGGGACCGGACGGTTGTTAAATAACTACCCGAGACGGTGATGTTGGGCGTGGGCTTAGGGCGGGTGGTACATGTACACTGTGCCCGGACGACCGCTCGACTTTCAATCTTCAAATCCACAAGGGGGGGAACATTAATGGGAAAAAAAAAGAATACAGTTACATGAGGTACCTAGAGTACCTAGGGAAGGGTACCTATTAGGGTACTTGATGTACCTGGTCAGACTACTACTAGGTACATACTAGGTAGTGTAGTACTAGGTAGTATACCTGGTGTACATCCTTGGCAACACCGTGACGTAGTGGGGGGGCGGCGCCAGGTTTAGCGGAGGGCTAGCAAGGCCTGGAGAAGCCTAGTTGAGGTTTTGGGTTCTAACCCAAGGGCACATCCGCGCAAAGCTGTATACATACATCACATATCTACATACATATATGTACATACAAGGCTTTTACATACCTAGTACAGTACAGGACTGTGGGGAAAACCAGCATCCAATGTGATTGGAGCTACTATAGAAATCAACATTGAACAAAAAGACTCCAATGCCACATACATAATGTATCGCCGAGGGTTATGAACGTTTAAGTTAGGTAGGTACTCAGGAGTAGGCTACTACATGTATGCACAATAGAGACTGCATGCAGTGTACATATGTAGGTGCATACCTAGTACATTACTTACTACATGCTATACTATGTAATATGTATGTATGTACAATACAATACTTTGTGCCTACATATACCTAGGTTAGTACCTACCTACTAGGTAGTATGTGCATGTAAGCGATATATGTAATGCGTTGACTTGTTAGAATAAAGAAAATAATATCAATAGTATTGAAAGAACCCAGGGCCAATCCGAGTACGATAATAGTTACATGTAGTACTGGTTGATCATCGAGCCATATTAGATATATACTGAACTACCTTACATAGGAATAAGAGAGCCCGGCGTCTTGGGTGGGCGGTGGTTGGGCCTGTCTTTTTTCTTCCTCGACCTGTTGTGTACCTGCCTGCCTGTGCGCTGGTGCTGGTGCTGTGCTATATTGTGTTATGCGGTGCGGTATGTACGTGGTGTATGCAATTCTATTGGTACATGCATAGTTACTAGGCAAGGTACGCATTCCCTTCCTTCCACATGCATTTAAGAAGATGCAGCTTTAGAGCAACATTGAAGCCCTGGGGGAGGGGGGGGCAGGTCAACTGGTACATAATGGATATACCTAGTGGTGATTAGGTGGTGATATGTATGGATGTATCATTGATTTACATGTAGGGCAGGGTACACCGTAGGGAATGACAGGTATCTACACTATAGTCGCGGCACCGGCACGGACGTCAAGTCGATGCGAATCATCGTCAATAGAGGATCGAGAGGGTCAGGAGGGTTAAGACTGAAGAAACTGGAAACATTTGTGAGTGGAGGGTACAGATACAGACTGGAGTTGTCAAGGTTCGAAGGGTAACTATTGTACATTCAGTAACATTCTATGTAGTAGTGTACCCTACCTAGGTCCTAGGGTAAGGTAGGGTAAGGTAGTGTAGTGTAGTGTATTGTACCTAGTGTAGTGTAGAGTGTAGACTCTGGAAGGCAGCTGGAGGGTTAGAATGCTCGAATGCTACTTCTCACCGTTCCATGATCTCAGTCAGACCCCCTGTTAAATGGAACATCCTTGGGTGTATGCACATCCATGGATGACTTAGTAGGGTATTTTGTGTCTAGATCTAAACCTTTATAGGCTTAGAGTGGATGGAGGCGAAGCCAACTGCTCGGCCCCATCGGACTAGATCCTCCAAGCTTCACTGCTACAGTACATAGTACAGGACTACAGGTACCCATATGTATTGTAATTGTACCTACATCCAGCACTTCTGGAGTACCTAAAAGTCAAGTATTCAATGTTGATCGATCAATGTTACAAATTACATACAACACAAGAAAACACCAGGGCTACCATACATACATGCCTATACATACATGCCTATACATACATGCCTATACATACATGCCTATACCTACCTACCTACAATACCTATGTAGTATTACCTACCTACATACATACTAACGATATGCACTATTATGGTATAGCCAAGATCAGCTAGGTAGTTCTTCCGCGCTATTCCATGGCCATTCGCGCTTGTGGATGCATCGCTTGGGTTGGCATCGTCCCATTATCCATCCCATTTACCATTACCATAGCATAGGTATGAATCTAGGTATCGTAGTAGATAGGTTAGTCTGTCAGTCTGTCCGTCTTTATTTCTCACTCAAAGGCGGCGAGCGACGAAGGCAAAAGATCCTACACGTGTAATCTATCCAACGGCATCTTACCTACATCTCTAATACCCTAGGTAGTATATGGTGATATGCCTCTTTGTCATACCATCGGCTTTTTTCTTCTTCGATTCTGTGTTGGACATCCAACGTCAAATGGACGGGCCCCATTTCAACAACTGGCCGTTGGACATGTCAGCGTGGCGGGGCTGTGAAAGAACCTCCGACTCCACCTGAGTTACAAGACCGTTATGGCGGGTAAGATGTTTGTTATGCGGGCTTGCCCAGTTAAACTTCGAGTATCTAGTAAGCCATGGTCTCACTCAACGTGGCCGACAAGATAGAGATAGTACCTGCTACCTAGGGTAGGTAGGTAGTCGATAAGGGTCAATGCTATACTTCCATTTTCGAGACGCGGTATCTACCGCCTACCTTGTAAAAAAAAAAAAAAAAAAAAAAAACACCCTCGACAGCCCTGGGGACATGTTCTATTAATTAATCACTTTTACCAGCATGTTATGGTGCCATGCATCGATGCCAGACTATGCCAAAGTTGGGTTGGTAGATATAAACAAATGCCTGATAGACTTTAAAACTCTCTTTTGGGTCGTGCTCTGCGTAGTTTCTATTGCATGCATGCTTCACATCCCTTGAAAGGGGGTGATCCAGTCAGATGGCACACTAAAAAGTCTTCATGATACAAGGACCACACGTGGGACGCCAGATAGGCTATTATGTCTGAGCGAAAGGACATCAGCACCTTTATGCTAACCACATAGTCCGTGTGTGTGGCCGATAGGAAGCATTCCGGTACTTACTTACTTGACATCGATGTCTCAATTATTTTAGGGACATGTATATGTAGTTAATCGCGTCGGTAGTGGCCTGACGTGAAGCTACCTACATGTACATACCTACCTACCTAGTTACATAGGGACCTATACTTTACAGAGACGGTTTCAGGTGTAAGGCCAAATACCTGAGCCTCAGTTGCGGCTTGTGTTTCGAATCGCGTAGGGACGGAGAACAGTCGGGAAGGTCCTCACCAGAAAAAAAAATAAAAGATTTGGCCCCGATATTATCGCGATGTCCACCAGAAGATCACAAGTACCGCTTTTGTTCTACATAGATTGTACCTCACTACTAGTTAGGGAAGTACATAAAGGAATGAACTAAGGGTACCCAGCTAGGTCGTCTATAACATGGAGTGCGGCAGGGACAATGACTTCCTAGTCAGCATTATACTATACATCGTCATCCCGAATCTCTCTTTCTTGAATAGACCAAAACATCCGCGCCGACTCCACAGCCTGACAATACCTTTCCGCGCGTGTAACGTTCAAACGAGTTACATGTTTCCCAAAAGAATTGAACTTCCGAGGGCACGTACCAAGATCGCCAAGATAGAGTGTATAGGTAGGTAGGTGCTGAACCAAGGGCTCAAAAAGATCTTCCAGTTCGGCCCACAGATCATAAGCATCTAAATTTCTTAGATTCTAGATAGCCATAGACCCTGACAGCCTGTCTGGGTTTGTATACCCACAGGATGTCCCTAGATCGGTACCTACATTAATACTATGTAACTGTGTAGGTAACTGTGAAACTGTGTAAGTCAGTCGGAATGCCTAATCGAAACCCCATAGTCCCGCTCCGGACGGAGCATCCACATATTCGGGAACGGGATAGTAGTAGGTAGCTGTTGCAGCTCCCCTTATTTACCAGTATTTGTGCCGAGATCAGTCTTGGCACTGTTGTTAGATAGGAGCTTGGCAGGCTAAAATCTCAAAGATGAAGGGATGCATGTGATGTAATAGTACCTTACACAGGACCACAGGCAGTACACTAGTTCTATGTATGTACTAATTAATAACTAACTAACCTACTATCCGAAGTGTCTAAAAAATATGTTTAGGGCTTGTTGACGTTGTAGGTGTTAGTATACTATTGAAATCCTAAACCTCCAAGTCTATATTGTATATCCACTCTCGGAGTGTTTTCCGTACATAGCAGTATAGCCTTATAGTAAGCCTTGGTTAGGATATTCGCAACTTCATTTTGTATGGACTGTATGTACTATAATAGTATAATACTATGTACTATGTAAGTAAGTGATCGGATTCCTAAAAAAAGACGAATTCGTTACCGCGGATTTGTTTTGGTTAATGGGAATCTCACAAGGGTATTCTGCAAAGCCCGATCTCAAATCAGGTGGGAGAGTTTATGCTGGGCCATTGCTGGCATAGTTTGTA